AGGCAGCTCTAGTTAAACTATGGCTTTTATATAAAACTTGTCATTAATCTTTAGTTAAGAATCACTGCACTGAATTTTGATTCTTTTTACACTGATGTTTCAGATGATGAAAGTTTGACTGAAAGCAAAGAAGTCCTGGTAATTTATCATTGAAAATATGAACAAACCCCGCAGATCTGAAGTGCTCAGACTAAACAAACACTGTAATCAGTGTGTAGATAAGAGAATAAAAACGTATTAACAACAAGGCCTCCTGATGTCTCCTCCCCGCCTACAGAATGGAGATGTTTCGCTGTGAGGATAATTACCAGCTTTGTGTTTTTCTGACATTTACTTTCAGGCGGAGACTAACATCAATGAAGAAAATGCCACCCTGCTTTCCTGCTGAATTTCACCTTTACTTCTGCTCTGTTTCACTCTTCAGACTTTGGGTGGTGGTGGGGGAAACAGATGGTTGCTAAATTACGTGGAAAAAATAAACGAATAAACAAAAGTTTCTCGTCAAGGTTTCACGATGAGATGATCGAACAGCTTCCACCATTGACTTAATGCAACCCGTCAGTTATCCACCTGTGTTTCATTAATCAGAACCACATAGGGAGGTGAAAGTTACTTAAAAGTTGCCTTCATAGAGGATATCAGAGCTTTAACTGTAACATAAAGGTGGAAAGTTTTGACTTTCTTTACTTTTGTATACTTGTAAAAGCCTTACACATCATTAGCGAACCATATATTTGATTCATTTGTGTAAATTCTAGGTGTTTAATAGAGTATTTCCCCATGTTAAAACTGAACGCTCTTTGCTTTAAGGTGTAACCTGGCACCGGTGGAGGAATACTTTCAGGACGTGGGATGGCGGACCAACTTGGTGACCATGAACCCGTCAGTAGTGCAGCGAGCCTTCCAGGACCTGGTCACCAATGAGTGGAAGGAGCGCTTCTTACGGCGTCTTCGAAGCCTCAGCGGCAGCGTGTTGTGGATCCCAGCCTTCATGGCCAAGGGGGGAGAGGAGCGCGTGGAGTGGGCACTGCGTCTCATCCTGCTGCACACCGTAGACATACGCACCGCCTTTCCATCACTGCGCCTTCTCCATGCCGTCAGAGGGTAAGATGCTCAAGCACAGACTTATAAGAACACCTGTGAGCAGCACACTCAAAGGGGCTGACGAAGCCAATCTGCAGCCCAGGTGGCTATTTTTAAGCACAGCTGATCACCGGGGGCAGTCGGTGAGATAAAGCTACTCTGCCTTTCTCCACTCAAGGGCCCACCTATCAAATTTACCTAAAAGGGAAACTGTTATGCTCATTTTTCAGCCCTATAGTTTTATTCTGGGTCTCTGACTGAGTAGCTTTGCATGACTCACAGTTCCAAGAATGACTTATTTTGGTTAAACGTCCCTCCCCACTGTGCAGCCTTTAGTTGATCTTCTATTTGTAACAAGTCATATTAGCTCACTCCATTTAAGCCAACTTACTGCTGAAACTGTCAGTGCTTTTGTCTTTGGGAAAGCCAAATTGAGTATTATTTTGGACAATAACTTCTTTCTAATAATTTGAGGACTCTCGGTCTGTCCGTCCATCTGTTCTCCAACTGTTCTTTCAATCCACTTCAAATTTTGCAGGGGTATTAGTGGGGCCCCTGGCTGAGTGCAGTGCCCAGTTTGACGTCATTTGAATGAACGGCTCACAAGATTTTGACTAAAAGAGTGACAGCTGTGCTGTGCCGTTATCGTTCTGTGCTTCGCTTTTGCCTCTCAGCCCTAAGTTTAGGATCACAGCTAACTGCCAAACACTAACCTGAACCTAATTCTAATTTTAACCCTAAGCTTAGTCTTAACCCTCAAAAAGGGCCTTGAAATTTGAAAGCATGACAGAAAAGTGCCAACTTTTAAAAAATGTAATTAAATAAAAATCGCACGAAGACAGCTGAACAAGTATGAACGACATTTCTTTGTTTACACTTTTATCTCGTTGTATGTGTTTGCTTTCCTGAAACGGTCTGTCTGTTCTGCACAGGGCTGTTTTAAACGGGCACCATCGCACTCATTTGTTCGGTTGCTGTCTCCTTTTATAGCTGTCCTCTTTTCAAGTCTGCAGCTTTAGGATCGCCTGCTTGTGACACATTTATGGGACACTTGTATATTGTGGAAACTCGGGGGAAAAAAGGGAGGAAAAGAAATGGGTTTCTTTTTCCCAAAATGAGCACTGTGACAAAAAAATAAGGAAAATATAAAATAGGCCCACTTTATATATAAAATACCAATTTAACCCTGGATACAATGTGATGGGGTCAATTTGGGAAATGTGCTTCTTTCACATGGGCAGATGTTGCTTCAGGTCTAGTCTTGTCTGATGTCATGTCAGGTAAGAAGCATTTAGCTTAGTGTGAATATCTTGAGGAAAGGAAAGGAAAAGTACTAGCCTGGTCTCTTTGGCTCAAGTTGAATGTTTGCATATGCTGCTTAGTTCTGTCCAACAGTGCTGCACCCGCACAATGCTCAATGCTTGCTTTGAGGGCAGGGTGCATGAGAGGATTCAGTACAAGTCCACAAGGACACGCACGGTGTTTAAGTCCATCTCCTTGTGCACACTTTCCACTAAAGCTGCTTGAGCACAGAGTGAAGTTAAAAATTCTCTAGAAATTGAGTGCTGTGTTTGCCCACCATGCTTGGGAAAGGCTTTTCCATAGTGCTTAGCACGCATGGTAATCAACATGGTGCAGCAGACCAGTCTTTAAGCAGCTGCTGTACTTCACAGCAAAGATACCGTGGCTAAAAAGTGTGAGAGTCACCCAGCGTTTCGTAATCATCCGCAGGAGCTCTGTGTGGTTTGATTAGATGGTCCTGCCCAGTTACAGCTGGGAGAGGTTAACCTGCATCATCACTCCAAAATGAAACCACAATATCATCCTCATGGTGAAATCAAAAGAAAAGTCACGGGGTCAGAGGTGGTGCTGGACCAAAATATAATATGACATTTCCATTGAGTCACAGCGCTCCCACCATTTGACTCTATCTTGGTTAAAAAAAAAGCAGGGAGCAGCGAGTCCTGCACCCGACACCGTGACATTGCCAGGCAACCAGCAGAGATGCTGCATTAAAAAGCTGTGTGGACTGACCTCATGGTGTTCATAAAGTCAATCTTTCGACTTGATTCTCTGCAAGAAAGCAAATACACACATTTCACAATTCAGCGTCACGCTGAGGCTTCACTGATGAGGCGAAGTCAAAATCTCGGTGATCACATGTTCCCGTCAGCTCTTTAGCCTGATTTATACGAGCTTGTGAAAAGATCAGTTTGCCTAATTATTTGCAAATGTTGTTGATTTGTTCCTTCTGCTGCTTTTTCCGGAGCTCCTGCATAGCTCAGATAATAGGAAAAGCTGCTGCGCTGTGGTTTAATGTGTTGTGTTTAGTGCATTTGGTTAATCATGTTATAAATTCCATTTATTATCATTACTGTTATCTTTTTTTATTTAACAGCTTGTCAGTGATTTTTTTTAAGAAGTCCTCTTTACACTGATGTCAAATGTCCTAAAGTGCATTTGGACATTTATAAAAATCCCTCTCTGCTATTGCTTGTGTGTCCTCGCCTCTGTTATCATTAGCACACTCTGCCCTGGTTCTTTCCTGCCTCGTTAAAAGCCTAACAACCACCGCTGGTCGGTGACCAAATTATGCGATTTTCTATGCTCCAACTCACTCTCGGTATTGCAAAGAGGTACAACCAGCCATGATTTTTCTTGTTTACAGACCGTAAGAAACAGTCTTTGCCCTAAATCGATAGTCGTGCCTGATAAATGCTCCCCTGACCTTTCCTCGGAAAAGCTGAACTTTAAATCGTGCTAGTTTGCAGTAGAGAATAAATCTTATGTGCTCATATTCACCGCAACCAAATCTCAAATCTCACCTCGGATGATGCCACTGATAATTAAACCCTGTTCTCCTGCCCACTGTTTGTCCTGCACGGCTCATGAGCTGATTAGAGTGGGAGGTTACTGCTGCTGCATCTCAACACGAGCTTCCACATTAACTATAGAGGGTGTTAGAGGAGAGGCTGTTGTGGCCTCAAGGCTGGGCAAATGGGCCAGTGACTGGAAAGGAAAATGAAGCTGATGCAAGCGAACGTGTGACCATCTGTCCCCGAAGCTGCTCCCAAGGGGAGCGTGTGGCACGTCACTGTCACAGGAGCTGCTAGTCACCTCAGGTAGAGAAAATAGTCGTGCAGAGCAGCTGTGGCGTCTGCAGCTTTTGTTAAAAAGGCTCACGCAGTGAAAAGAACGTACAGTCTGTGCTGCTCAGCAACACTCTGCAAAAAAGTAAAACATAAAAAAATCGTCCACCTAAATATTTTTGATTTCATGTCAAATTCAGCAGCCAGGAGTTACTGCAGTTCTGCAACTGCAGTGAAAAAATCCAACTCTCGACAGATAGAAGTCATTTTCTTTCCCCTGTAGATGCTACCAGCCTCGAGCTTAACAATAGAACTGCAATAATTGTAAACCACTGTTTTTAAAAGGGTCACAAAATTAAAAATCCCATTTCCTACAGCTTCAACCAATCACCAGTGGAAAACTCAAAGGTAAAAGAGAGAGAGGGAAGAAAGCAGCCAGTCATCACGTTTGAAAGACTGAAATGATTAAACCAACTGACCTACAGAAGACTTTAGGAATATGCGAGACAGTTGTGAGGCCAGTGTGTTGTTGTTTACATCAGAAAGGTGTCGGTCAAACTCTCTATTTTTGCTTGTGTCACGCAGGATTCAACTCCTCCTCTTACTGAAGGAGAAAAGTGGTTCTTCCCAGTGAATGCAGAGCTCACTGTGTACCCAGAAAAGAGTTATGGACACCTTCATTGCTCATCCTTTTGTTCTGGTTCTGTCCGAGTGTCTCCTGTTTTGTCCCTGAATGTCTTATCTTACAGCTCTGTCTCTGTCTGCATCTGCAGGTACTGGCTGACGAACAACGTCCACATCAAACGTCCGACCACCGGCCTCCTCATGTACACAATGGCCACTCGCTTCTGCGAGGAGATCCACCTTTACGGCTTTTGGCCCTTTTCGCTCGACCCGCAAGGCAAACCGGTTAAATACCACTACTACGACACCCTCAAATATGAGTACACCTCCAGCTCGAGTCCTCACACCATGCCTTTGGAGTTCAGGACCCTGAGCACGTTGCACAGACAGGGGGCGCTACGGCTCCACACTGGGGTTTGTGGCATCCAGCAGAGACCACAGAAAGATCTCCAGAGCAAATAGCAGAAGGTTCTGTGGCAAGCAGACTTGACCACGAGCAGTTTTTCTCGTTGCTAGCACTTTTATGAGACTTGAATTAACTTATTTTCAACAGCTGGAATGAACAATTTTTCTATTTCAAGCTCAAAGAGTGACCAACTCCACCCTCAGGCCTGAGGTCTCTCCACAAGCACATCTTTTTTTGCGTGTCTGTATGTGTGTTGATTAAATAAATTAATGAATATAATTTCATTTTTATATTCTAAATTAAAAGTAGCTGACATCCCACAAGTGTTAAAAGTTAATAAGGCTGGCTCTGAAATTCATATTCCAACTTTGCGATGACAAGACTCAATTTAGGGGTGTTTTGTGAGCTGTTAAATTACTGGTTCGCTTGTTGAGCCACAAGATGGAAGCACTTAATAATCAGGAAGAATGATGATAGAGGAAAAAAGGGGACCAACATTTCTTTTTAAAACACTTTGAAGTGGAATCTCTTAAACGCTTTCTATGACATAACCTTACTTTAATGTTAGAAGGTTAATAACAAGCAAAAACTCAAACCTCCAATAAACCAGAGCCACCGTCTAATAAAGTCAGGTTACCTTGAGAACCAAATCAAGAAAGGAAGGCGTGAGCATAATGGAGGAGTGTACCAGCTGTTCACATACGAATGTTTACTCAGACTTTGCCAACGGTAAACCCACTTTGTAAACTTTCCTCAAACAGCACCAGCCCTGTTTCCTCACCGGAGGGCGAGACGGTAGCTGGATGTTTGTACTAAGAAGAGGTTTACTTTTTGAGATGAATGTATTCGTTGGCTTCCTTACAAACCTGGGAACAAGCAAGCTCCATGATGTGCTTTTAAATTAACATTAAGTCGCAATCAGCAGCTATTTCAGTGAAATATCACTGAGAGGACCCCGAGCTGGACATCTGTATGCCTTTATTCATGTGGAGCAAGGGTTCTCAAGGTTTTTATGACCAATGTAGGGAGAGGAGGGCTGCACACATCACAAACACTGGAAATGTGTGTGACGTGTCTGTTATTTGTGTTTTTAATTGACTTTTGGCGACACTTAATATGTTCAGTGTTGCATTTCTTGACACCAGCTATATATGTCAGTGGTAGAAAGGTTTAGTCTGCTATAATGGCTGTAACACAGATATGTGCTGCTACACTCACTGGCCACTTTGTTAGGCACAGCTGTTCAACTGGTTGTTAATGCAAATATCTCATCGACCAATCATGAGGCAGCAGTGCATTTGGGAATGTTGGCAAATGTGCTCAAGATGACCTGCTTAGGTTTGAACTGAGCATCAAAATAGGGAAGAAAGGGGATTTAAGTGACTCTGAATGTGTCAGACAGGCTGGTCTGAGTATTTCAGAATCTGCTGATCTGCTCGGATTTTCCCACACAACCATCTGTAGGGTTTACAGAGAATGGCTGGAAATGCCTTGTTGATGTCAGAGGTCAGAGGAGCACGGCTAGACTGCTTTAATCTGACTCAAATTATTGTTACAACCCAGGTATGCAGAAGAGCTTCTCTGAACACACAACACGTTGCACCGTGAAGCAGACGGGGCACAGCGACAGGAGACCACAACGGGTGGTCGTGGAATGTTTCCAGCACATATCCCATAAAGCATTAAGGCAGCTTACTAGCAAGGTAACCTAATGAAGTGGTCAGTGAGTGTAAAGAATAGTTTGATGTGTGGATTAGTTAAATATAAACTAGTGCATTTCTTTCTTTGTTGCCCTGAAAGACCTCGTAACATGTTACCAAGAGCTGCTACGGGCAGGTCACACTTTAAGAAATATGGAGGTAGAGTGATGTGTTCATTTTTCTTGTAGAGCATGTTTGGAATTAGTATTAAACCAATATAATAGTTTGATACATAGTATTGTGCCTATAATAAATCAATTCCACCAGTCCCTAAGTGGACCATCCCCATGCCCAGACACTATAAAAGGTTTTATTCGGCTGTGAGTTCTTTAACCTAGTTATCAGTTTAAAATAAAAACAGAGTATGCAAAAAACGTCTCGTCGTAGGCCTCTGGTCAGGATACAAACTCCTTTTTATGTACATTTTAAGGCCAGTAGTAGACTGGCTTTTCAAACGGGAACATCTTAACTCAAGATTAAATTGTATTTTTGTACTTCGAGGATCCACCTCATCAAAGGGGGTTTTGTTTTGGGCTTTTTCTTTTTTTTTTTTTTTTTTTTGGAGAAAGAGTGTAGATCTCATTTTGGCCAAGAAGCTCTGGGTATTTTTCTGTAA